TTTTCTTACAATTTTCTACATGGAAAATAGATTTTAACTAAATGACTGTAGCTAAGGGCAGTAACATGTAATTGGACCACTATAGTGCAGGGCACCCAGCCAGTCCCTTGTGATCTCCAGAGAGCACAGGATGGGGAGACTGGGGGATCTTGGCTGCATTTTTAGGGTTTTGATTCAGGAGAGATGCTTCTACTTGTTCCCTCTGGCTTCATGGTTCTAAATAGTCCTTTCCAACTCCTTCCTAGTTCTACATCTTGCCACAACCTTTTTGCTTAGTCCTTCACTGCTCTTCAGACTTTTCTGATCCTTTTCAGTTCCTCCTCCAGTCTTTCCTGGCCACTGCTGTTGGAGCAGCACAGCCTTCCCCTGATCTCTAGGAAAAGCTGAGCCACCAGTGCAAACACGGTGCTCCTGTGTGAATCTGTGCCCTTTCTGGGTTGCTTGGTAGTGTCCCTGAGAGCCCAGCTGTGGCCAGTGCCCTCATTGTGGCCCTGGTGGAGAATGCCCATAAAAGCCCTGCTGCTGTGCCTCCACCCGGGTGCAGCTCTGCTTGCAGGAGACGACTGTGCCTGCTCCAGGAGAATGGGACTTCCAGAGATGTCTCTTTACTAATCTGTGACATTGCTTTTCCAGAAAAATTGCATTTTCCAATTTTTTTTTTTGTGTAAATCCACCCATGTGATGTTTTCTGAATTCTTGCTCTGAAGCAAAGTGTGGCTTCAGTTCCTCTGTAGAAAGATTAGTAGAAACATAGGTTTTCCAGCATCATTTTCAGAAACTGCCTGTCTCCCAGCCCACCCTGAGTTCCTTCAGGGTCACTCATTCACTTGTGTCACTACTGGGGACAGTGACACAGGGCATTGAGAGGTCTGTGATGTAATCAGTGCCTGCAACAGCCCTGAGCTGCCCCCGCAGTGTCACTGCCAGCTGTGGGGCCATGGGTGGCCATGCACGGTGTGTGAGGTCCTGCCCCAGCCAGCAGCCGGTGCAGAGGGCAGCCAGGGTGGTGCTGTGGGGAGGGATTGGTCATCCCACAGACAGGGCTTGAGATGGTGACTTGCTGGAGACAGCTTAATTCCGAAGACTTCAGTCAAAGAGGTTTATGTTTAAGAGCTGTTGAGCTGAAAAGCTCTAAGTTAAGGAAATATTAAGTTTTGAAGCTTAACAGCTTGTGATTTTTTTAATTTTTTTTTTTTTTTTTTTAGGGAAAAGTGAAACCATAGAGGAATATAAATCCAAGGAGCCAAGCCCTAGGATTTAATGCAGTGCAAAGGCTGAAAAGTGGAATTTCTCACTGGTTTGTGTAGGGTTGTCTGCAGAGGTTGGCCTGTTCTTGCCTCCCTTCAAAAGCATTCTAGCAGCTGTTACACGCTTTCAGAGGAGAGCTGCAGTGCTCCTGGGCACTGGGATCAGGAAAGCCCCTGTGTGTCCCCCCTGTGCTAGTCACTGGAGCTGGGGGACACTGTGGGGGCAGGCTCTGGCTGAGGGGTGCTGGGCACTGGAGAGGGGCTGGGTACCCAGGAGAGAAGGGTGTTGGACCAGCCCCACTGCTCTGCCCTTCAGCTGGAATGCCTGAATGTGGTGGAGCTGGGGCTGAAGTGCTGTCCTCCTGGCCAGTTCAGGGTCATTTTGAGGTGACTCTTCTGTCAAATGGCAGTAACTGCAAAGCATCCCCTCCTTCCCTGAGTGTCCAGACTATGTGGCAGAAGCGTTCCTTACCTTGTGATGAAGTTGTCTTTTTGTGTGTAAACTGGATAAAGACAGAACATGCACCCCAGTCAGTCTGAAAGTTGTCTTTCCTTTTACCAAGGCTTTCAAATTCAGAAAACCTCTTCAGTTGGATTTTCTGTAAGGAAAAGTTTGCTTATAGGAGCAACACAAGGCTGGAGATGCAGATAACAGGAGCAAACCACACACAGGTTTGCTCCCTGTCAGCAGAGCTGGGATATAGAGTGCTCTTGATCTTTATACAACATCAGCCCAGGTTTTTCATTTTAATTTAAATCTTGGTGTGTCAAATGTAGCAGGGCCAGATCCTGGCTGTTCCTGCTGGCTTCTCTTTCACATTCCTATCTGGGGTAGGAAGGCTTCCCATTCAAACCTGCTCTCAAGTCCTTGGCCGCACTGGATGGGCTCCATGATCTATGGAATGCCTGCTCCTCATGGGATGTGGACCAGTGGAGCAGGGGGAGGGAAGCTCATTTCACTGGGGGCACCTTCACTGCCCTGCAAGTGAAAGGTCAGGCTGCTCAGACTTTGATTTGAGCTGCTGAAGGGTGGTCACTAATCCAGTAAGCCACCGAGGGACTGTAGGACACAGCCTCAATTCAGGCATTTGCAAGGGTGAGTGGAAGGCAGTAACCCCAGGGGCTCCTAGTGTGTCCTGCAGTGCAGGCTCCTACCTGGCCTGCTCCTACCTGGCCTTGGCTTGGTTTATAAAGTGTTGAGACCATCAGGCTCTCAGGAACATGCTGCGCCAGCCTTCACGCCCCGAGTGTGCTGTAAGAAAACTAAACAGCCTTAAAGGTTTTCCAGTGGGGATCAGCTGCTCTGGCTGGATTTGTGCTGGGAATCTGATCACACAGGAGCCTTCAGCAGCGGAGAAACAGGTTTGGGTGTGCAGCTTTTAATATTAGAGATATATACACATACACACACGCTCATATATATTCATAACAGTATGCTACTAAATGATATTTCTATTTTTTCAGAGACATGTATGAGCTGCCTCTTCTCTATTCTGTGCCCCATCTGTGTTGTTCAAGACTGATAGTCTGAGATTCACCCAATATTGGTATTATTCTCCAGGTAACTATTTGGATATTGAAGGTTAAGGGGTTTTGCCAGACTACTGAGGCACAAAGCATGCATCTATTTTACAAAAGAACTTTTGTGATTACAAATACAATAATTGAAAGAAGAAAACCCTCATGTGTCCTTTAAAACAATCCCTGCTGTTGCCCTGGCAGTTTTTGCTGTTTGAGGTGTCCAGGTCCTGGCCTGTGTGGATCCAAGTCCTTTGGGTCATGGCTGTGGGGACAACTGTACTGCCAGCACATGGCTTCTCAGCCTGGTCTGGGCCAGCATCACCTGGGATGAGTTTTTCCATGCGTAGCTCACAGCTCTGTTTTAGCTGCCGTAATTTTACGTGCTGTTGGGGCAATTAAAATGATAAATGGTAGCAGCAGCTTTACAAATTCCTTTTTGAGCTGTTCTGCTTCCAGCCAGGTGCAGCAGCCCTGGGGCAGCTTGGGTGTTGGACAGAGCCATCAGTGGCCATCTGAGGAGCTTTTTCTCCGAGGCAGGTGATGGTGAAAAGCCTGAGGAGCAGTCAAAGCTCACGCCCACAGGTGATTGTGAGGGTTTTGGAGGAGTTACTGCCTCTGGCTTTGCAGAACTCCTGTGTGCATTGGGCAGCAGATACTGGACTTAGCAAGGTGAAGAGCTGGTGCTGGGCATGACCCTGTGCTGTGGGTACCTTTCCTGTGGGGCTGAGCAGCACCTGCTAGCATAAGATGGCACAGGCTGGGCTTCTGCCACCCAAACTGCTTCCAAGAAATGAGGTACTGGTGATGATTAGGGATATAGGGAATATTTTCACATCTAAGCTAAATACTGTGATCTTGTGAGTCCCCAAATTGTGAATTATTCCAGTGTAGGCATCTTGGTGTGCTCAACTTGTAGGGCTCAGGGTGGTGTCTCTATGTTCTTGGCCATGTGTGCAAACAGCTTTCAGCTGTGGCAGAGTGCCATGGGACTGCCAGGACAGGAATGGATGGGGCCTCTGATGTTGGTGACATCAGCAATTGAGAGTTTTGGGTTTTTTTTTTCTCTTTTAAACTTCCAGATCCATAAGACCAGAAGTGTGAAGTCTGTTAGATACATCACAGACACGTGTTAGTGCTGGAAGTTTTATAAGGACTTGCTTTGATCGCTGTTTTAAAACTTAATGTTTTCTGTGCCTCTTGGGCCTGAAACTATGGGCCAAAACACCCTGTGACTTGATACCTGAAGGCTCCCCAGTGGTGAACTTCAGGGATTAAAGATACTGCTTGATTTGTGGCTGAGACTGCCGGGGGAGCAAGCACCTCGGTTCCCGCAGAGGTGGGAGCAGCTGGGCCCAACATGCTGCACTGATGCATGCTGTTATTTGAGTGGAGAATTTGGAAAGCTCAGAGTTCTGAGCTACGGTCATGTTCTCACTTAATAAGGTGTTAACTGAAGTTGGGTGCTCTTTGGAGACTTCGGCTATGTGTGGAGGTTAACGGTTCCTGGCATCTTGTCTGCTATAACGAGCTTTCAGACAAGAGGAAAGAGTTACCACACGCTATCAGCGTGTGAATTTTTTTTTCCTAACCTAAAGCAAACCCCAAACAAACAGAAAAACCGTCCCAGAACTGAGGCGGAGGAAGGCTCAGGGCTGGCCCCGGGGCTGCGGGCGGTGCGGGGCGGCGCGGCGGCCGCTGGAGGGCAGGCGAGCCGTGCGGAGCGGCGGAGCAGCCCGGCGCTCGGAGCCCGCCGCCCGCGCCCCGCCGCGCAGCGGTGCCGGGCCATGGACCGGGCGGCTGCGGCTGTCCCGGCCCGCGAGGGGCCGCTCCGGGGCCGCCGGGCGCCGCCGCCCGCCCGGGGCTCGGCGGGCACGGGACGCGCTCCTGCCCCGTCGGAGGTAAGGGCGCACCGGGCGGCCGCGGCCACGCGTGTCGGTGCAACGGGGCAGCGGCCGCTTCCGAGCCCCGCGCGTCCCGGGCGAGCGGCGCCGCCCGCTCTGTCGCGCCGGGGAGGGCTCGGGGGAGCTCGACCCCCTCCCTGTCTTATTCTGTAAGAAACTCTTCCCCGGCGGCGCTGCCCGCGGCCGGGCGGTGCCCGCTCCGCGCGGGCGGTGCCAGCGCGGTGGGTCCCGCCTCCCGCTCCGCGCCCCGCGCATCGCTATGCCGCCCGCCGGAGCGCGCAGCGCGGAGCCCAGCCCGGAGCGGGGCGCGGCGGCGGCCGAGAGGCTCCATCCGCCCAGCGGGGCCGGCCCGGTCCGGGGGGACGCGGGGGGGCACTTGCTGATGATCGGAAGTTACTGACAATAAGCACCTTCATCCCCCCAAAGGCGGAGAGAGGGAGAGGAGGAGGAGGAGGAGAGACAGGGGGAGAGGAGAGCTGATGCCTGACGAGTCACTCGGCGGAGGCAGAGCGGGCGGTACCACAACTTCCCGGCGGCGCGGAGCGGCGCGGAGCAGCGCGGCGCGGATCGGAGCTCGCCGGCCGGATCGCTCCCATGTCAGCGCGGCGGCGGGGGACTGCGCTCCGCTAGCAACCAGCCGCCGGCCAACCCGCTCCTTGCCCAGCGATGTATTCACTGCTCTCAGCCTGCACTTGCCTGTAAGGATTATGGCATATTTCTAATTTTTTTTTTTTTAATTTTTAAAAATATTTTAAATTTTTTTAAACTTTCATTCTGGAGGTTCTGGTTGCATTTTCCTTGCAGCCAGGTGGTAATGGGGACCTGAGCCTTTTTATAAGCAGAGCATCGCTCTGAGCCCTTTAAAAAATTGCAAACAAAAACAAAGAAAAAACCAAACAAAACAAAAATCAACTTTAATCATTCTACCGCATCATTTGATCTTTTGTTGCTTTTTTTTTTTCTCCTCTCCAGATGTTTACATTTCCTGCTGCTGTGCTTTCAGGTACAGGTACGTGTCCTTTCTGTCCTCTCTCGCTTTTGGTTGTAAAATAGAAACAAAGGCGGCGTGCTGACCTCCACTGCCAGGCAGGTTTAGCTGGGGCTTTCACTTGTTTCCCTCTAGTTTTTATAGCTGTATTAAACCGAGCCCCGCACCAGATGCTGGAGTGTCACTTGCGCTGGACCGGGGCTTCCCCTGCGCTCAGCTCCCGTTCCGTGCCCCGTTGTGCTCGGCCGCCGGTACGGGCAGGGGTGCAGCCGGTGCGCCGGTAGCCTGCCGTAGCGGCATCCTCTGGAGTGCATTAGCCTGGCTAATGATGTGAGAGGGAGTGCTGGACTCTGCTTGCACAATGTTGATTGATGCACTTGCCTTGGAAGAGCAGGCGCTCTCCTGGTCGCCCTTCTTTCCCTTTTTCCTTTTTTTTTTTTTTTTTTTTTTTTTTTTTTCTCCTCTTTCCCTCTTCGGTAACTCACTCCCACTCCCAAAAACCGATGCTTTGAAAAACACGAGTTTTCCTAGCCAAGAGAAGGAGGCTGCGTGCTCCCTCCCCATTATTCAGTAGAACGCCGTCCAAGTCAGCTCCAGCCTTTGATCCTGTCTCGGCAGGAATGAGGCCGTTGGAGGAACACCCTGAGCGAGGCTCTGCAGCCCAGGTGCCCGCGGGATGGGGATGGCAGCTGCCCCATACCGCGGGGATTTTAGCTGGACATCCTGGAGCACACCCAGCTGCGGGGCCGGGCAGAGCAGGTGCCACCTCGGTGGCCCCGGCCACCTTCCCACCGGGGGATACTTGTGCCACCCTTGGCCCCCGAGTTGTGCTTTGGCCGGGATTGCACCTGCTCACGCTCTCCGGATCCCCACTGCGGCAGGGGATGGTCCTGGATGGTCACATCCTTGGAGGGGGCTCCATCCCTCTGGCCAAGCTAAAACCCCAGCCAGCGCCATCCCGTGCTCTCCCATCCATCCAAAAAACGCCCGATCACATTTTTTTCCTCATCCCCTCCGAAAACTGCAGCTCGAAGCCGACACCAGCAGAGCCTTCCCTGGTGGAGCAGCAGGAGAGGATCGGCACTGTAAATTACCCTGCGCTCGGAAGGTGTTTGCTGCTTCTCTGGTGCGGGTTTTTTTCAGCCCGAGGAATCACGGGCTGCGCAGGGCTCGCAGCGCCGGAACCCTTTGCAGCGGGGAGAGGTTTTTTTGCGCTTGTGCGGTAACTGAAGTTAATCAGCCATCCAGCCCCCTTCCTCTCCCCCTCCCTTCGGTGCTTTTAGTGAATCAGAAAAAGTTTGGCTGGCTGCCTGGAAAGCACTTGCTAAAATCTGATCTCTTACTTCAGCAGCCTTAAAACAAAGTTATTGGCATTTATACAGTTGGAGCTTGCAGGCTTCCAAAGCAATAAAATAAAAAAAAAAAAAAAGAAAAAAAAAGAAGAAAGCTCTGTGCTCTGCTGCTATTAGAACCATACTTGCTACCTTTTGTGCTGATTTTGCAGCGTTTTGGGGCTGTGAGGTGGGATGGCTGCTCTGGGCTCTGCGGAGGTGTCCTGGCTGCGGCCGGAGGGGCGGCGGAGCTCTTTGGGTGTCACACGCAGAGCGGAGCTCCTCCGGCAATTGGTGTGGGGAGCCAAAACATTAGATTAGTCATACTCGAGGGCCTTCGAGTGAGTGTTTACAGTATTAATGGTAGATGAAAAGATGTGAATGCTGTAAGTTTTTATTGCGCATTTTGTTACACTTTCTTTCTGGATTTATTCATGGGATTACATGTTTTGAGCCTCAATGGGAGCAAGGGATTATAGGATTTCTTTAATAATGATCAGTTTGGGTAGGAGTTAGCCTTTGGTGAACTGGAGTAAATTAATGCATCACTTAGATTTAATATTTATTTAGTCTAAAGGAAGTTGTTTAGTTTTGCTTAAAGGGCTCTGTGTTGTATTGGGGAGATTTAAGAGTTCCTGAAGTGGATTATGTTCTAAGGCTGCCTTTTGCCCTCCGTTCAAGCCATGATCTGTGGCTCATCATGTATGCTTGTCTTAGAATTACTCTGCTCTGCTGCTGCCTGGTACCCGTGGCTCTGTGTGCAGAGGTAGAAATCCCTCTAGTGTGTGTGGGGCTGGAGGAATTCTGGGACAAAACACCATGGTTTGGGTATGCTCTGTGTGTTCTGGTGGATCCTTGTGGACGAGGGCTGTGGTGCACTGATGTGTGAGCTGCTGCAGCTCTGGCCAAAAGCTTTCTCACAGACCCCAAGGCCACGCTGCATTCGCCAGTGGGTGATGGGGCAGGTGTAGTATCTCCTGTGGGCAGCGCTGGGAAGTGTTCCACAACCCTAGCCACAGGGAGGTTGGAGGCTCGAGAGTTTCCAAGAGCAGGATTTGGAGCCCTGGGTGAGTTGGACTCCTCCAGGGCTTTGCCATTGTGTGACATTTCCACCAAGGAGCACGGGGACTAACACATGGTAGGGCAGAGGGGAGCACTGCTGCAGCGTGGGTGCAGCACAGCCCTGGGAGGGGCCCTGGACCTTCCCAGGCTGCCTGGAGGAGAGGTCATTCACCTTCCCCTGTAACAGCAATGCCCTGTCTTGTTTTCTTCTCTTGCCTCTTAGGAAGTCGCTCTGATACTTGGGGTTCCTGCAGTTCCAAAGCAGGGACGCTGGATACCCTTGCAGACCCTGGTGACATTAATTTCTTTATGCAGGTTGTTCTTAGGAACACTCTGCTGCTGATGGTTACTGAACTCTCCCTCTATCACGTCTTTAGCATTCTTCAGTTTATTCTCCTACCTCTTCACACTTCCAGGAGCAATTTCTCTTCCACGTGCTTTTTTGTTCTGTATGTCTCAGAGTGGTTTTGGGTTTGGCTTTGGAATCAATCTCTGCTCTTCAAGCAGGTGAGAAACCCCAGAAGCACTTTGCAGGGTTGGAGGGGATTGCCCCATGCTGTGCTGGCTCTGGCAGCACCAGTGACCCTGAAGATAACAAATTTGGGGACATGGGATCTCAGAGGGCCCCCTTTGCCAGGGCAGGTGGGAGCTGGAGGCAGCTTCAGTGTAAGTTGAGCAGTAGGAACTGAGGTTCTGAGTGCTGTCCTGGTTTGCAAGAGCTTCCAGCTCTTCTGTCCTTGAGCCACCTCGAGTGCATGGCCGGGCAGAGCACGGGGCAGTGCCTGGGCTGCCCTGGCTGTGCTGCAGAGCAGAGGGTGGTCCTGCCTCAGCCTCTTCCCTGCCTGATAAACCTCGCCATGTTCTCCTACACGGAGTGCATCTGTCTTAGATTATGAAGAGGTCCCTGATAGGGCCAAATCCTTTGCTTTTATGGCTCTTGTAGGTTAAGATCCAGCTTTGGAATCTGATCCAGAAGCAAACAGGAGGTCAGAGGAATGCACAAGGCAGCACTCGGCTATTTTCACATCTGCTGGTGTTGTGTAAGAGGAAGGCTGCTGTGTGCCATGCCAATAGCAACTTATGTTTCTCCTAAGCTCCTGTGCAGCGACAGACAGTTATTGTTTGGGACATTGTAAAGTGAGACACGGAGAAGTGTTGCTTCCACACGTTCAGTGAGCCAGATCCTGCGGTCTGGCAAAGCCACACGCATGAATGCCAGAAGGACATGTCAGAGGCATGAGCCTGCTGAGCAGCTCCCTCCCCTCTCCCTGCCTGCTGCTCCATAGCCATCCTCCCTGGGACAAGCAGGATGGGTGGTGAGTGCCACCAAATGGCTCTGGGGATTCACTGTGGAGAAGCCAAAGGAGGTCCTGGTCACAACCCGCCCATCTTGCCTTGGCTGGCCCCTCTTTCTGTGGGTGTGCAGCAGTGGTAGAGCCACAGCCCCCTGCCTGCCCTGTCCGTGCCCTCCTGGTGACAGCACCAAAGTCAGGGTGCTGGACTGCACATCACCAACAAGGTTATTCTCATGTCTCCCCTCCCTGTAGATGGGCACCCACCTGCCTTTGTCCTCTCTGGGTGGCACAGTGTCTGTCTTGAGGAGGTGCCAAGGCTGCATGTGCTGCCAAGGATGGAACTTTGTGCATCCCCTCATTGTTCCTGAAGCGCTGTGGGATGGGGTAGGTGGTGCCTCCGTGGGCTGCTCCCTCCTCATGGTCAAGTCCTGCGTGCCAAGACTCAGTGGGGCCCAGAGCCCACCAGGCTGGGTGATCCCGTGCTTGCCCTTTCTGCTCAGCCTGGATTGGGAACAGCACATCCTCGGACAGCATCCCTGTGTCAGCACCTGCCTCCTGCTCCACAAGGGTGGAGGAGTTATGCTGAGAAGGACAGAATATGGCAAATGTGGTCTGCGGAAGGCTGGGCAGCTCTGTTGATTTTTTGGATTGCACCTGCCTTGATTACGAGGCAGTGAGAAGACAGAGAAACTGCGTGAGCAAAGCCTGAGTTAACGAACAGCGGAGCTCAGCGATGCAGCAGCACGTGGCCCCATCGTGGCTGGAGTTGATGGGATGGTTTTAGCTCTGCCTTGGTGCTGTGCTGGATTCCCAGTGCTGAATGCAGTTCCTGATGGTATGGCTCTGCTGGCCTGCAACCTGCCGAGGCAGGGTCCTGTTGGACATGAAATTGTTTGTTCCAGTTTCAAATGCCCTTGCTCTCCAGGAAACAACCATGTGGCTTGCCACAAGGGATTTTTATTCCCTGCTGCTGACTCATTGCACCAGACTATGAAGTGTTGTGTCCTGGAGCTGCCCTGTGTATCTGGCTTCTGCCTCCTGAACTTTGGAGAGTTCGGGCTTGTGAAGGAAGAGGAAGCACATTAGGGCATTTGCCTGGGCTGGAGCAGGGAAGCTGAGTGGCAGTGGGCTGGTGCTTGAGCTGATGAGTGCTGGGGTTCTCCTGCAGGAGGTGCGAGACTCAGCTTAGCTCGAGTGAGTGTGTGCTGTCGGTCTTGCTCCTACACAGATGGGCATGTGCAGCCTGTGCCCCACCTGCAGCTCTCGGCTGCCTGCCCTGGGCACACCGTGCCTTTGCTTCTCACTGAAGGTCCCCAGTCCTTCAAAGTGCTGG